TTTACAAGCATTTTGACAGAATTCGCTCAAATTTCGTATTTTGCCAAGCAAAATTACATTCATTGAAATTATGTAAAAAATTGTATACCTTACAATTTGAAGAATTTTCAACAACTATTAATTAAAATTACAAAAATAATAAATATTTACTAAACGTCATTCTTTGCATGAAATTATCTTTTTCTAAATCAATTTTATAATTGCACGCAAAAATGTTTTCAACTCGCTTAAAAATTTATCGTATGGTGAAATAAGCTACAAAATAAAATTAACTTCAAGGGGTTCAAGCTTTGGATGGCTATCCAGACCAAACTAAAGGGACCATATATCCCAGATTGCGGATACCCCCTATATTTTGGGGGCGAAAAATCCGAGGCCGTCGAAAAAAAAACATTTTTATTCAGAAAAAGTATGACGAAAGTTCAGAAAAATTTGACGTCATGTGTTATGAAATGACGTCAATAAAGATAATCGGGACAAATTTCCTTGATTGTTCACATCTTAATAACAATTCAACTTTCTTTTGAGTCGTTTTTGTTTGTTTTTTTTTTAAATATTTTTTTTCAATAATTGGGTTCTGTTCCAATTTTGAACTTTGTATCTTAGAATTATCTCGCTTAAAATGTTATAAAAACTTATATACCTTGCAAATAAAATATTTTCTGATCATTATTAAATTTAATAATAATTTTTTTTCCTTTTGAATAAACTTTATGCAAAAACTTTATGATTCACTTAAGTGGTTCTAAAGATGAAAATAATATTATGCGAGTAGTAGAATTAATTTAAGGGAATTCTGACCCTCTGTGCCTACTAAAATATTGGAATCATATTTTTCAGTGGATTTTTACCACTCATACCCAGTAGAACAGGGGTGGCGAACCTTTACACCCCAACGTGCCATTTTATCTAAAAAATTGCTTAATGAGGTCATAGACGTGCCGTCAAATAATTTTGACTTCATGATTATTAGGAAAATAATAATACTAAATACTATCAACTCAAAACTCTTTATTTACATTGAAAAAAATAATACATTTTGCAATGTCTCAGTTATACAAGTAATTCAACTTCAAGTAATATCAATGTGACTTCTGNGCTTTGGACGGCTATCCAGACCAAACTAATGGGACCATATATCCCAGATTGCGGATACCCCCTATATTTTGGGGGCGAAAAATCCGAAGCTGTCGAAAAAAAAAACATTTTTATTCAGAAATAGTATGACGAAAGATCAGAAAAATTTGACGTCATGTGCTATGGAATGACGTCAATAAAGATAATCGAGACAAATTTCCTTGCTTGTACACATCTTAATAACAATTCAACTTTCTTTTGAGTCGTTAATAGTTTGTTTGTTTTTTTTTAAATATTTTTTTCAATAATTGGGTTCTGTTCCAATTTTGAACTTTGTATCTCAGAATTATTTCGCTGATCATTATTAAATTTAATAATAATTTTTTTTTCCTTTTGAATAAACTTTATAGAAAAACTTTATGATTCATTTAAATTGTTCTAAAGATAAAAATAATATTAAGCGAAAAGTAAAATTAATTTAAAGGAATTCTGACCCTCTGTGCTGTTGGAATCATATTTTTCGGTGAATTTTTACCACTCATACCCAGTAGAAGAAACCTACCAGCACGATAGCAGGCGCTGCTGCTTATCACAACATCCGCAGATTATTTTATAAATCAAATTTTCATGAAAATTCATTTCAGCATCAACAGATTATTATTCATCCCAGATTTCAAAAAAATAAAAATAACTTAAAAGAAAAGCAGAAAAAAATCATTTTAATCAATCCCAGAACTTACCTAATTAATGCTTGTTTATTGGCTCCTTTACAAAAATTATTCTATAGTTATTTGATTATTTTCAAAAATTATAAATAATGCTCTTTAATTAAAAAAATAAAAATTTAATTTGAATTTTGAAAAATAAAAATTTGAAATACGAAAAGAATTTAAAAAGCTATTTCGTAATTTTTGAAGACTCAAGTTTCTTGTTTATAGACTGTATGGGAACAAATTCCATCTTTTAAATCTCGATTATTCCATTCCTTAGTTATATTCAACTGAAACTGTATAAAAATATTAATTAAAATAACAAATTGTTTTATTTACAATTATTAAATACTTTGCTAATCTGTGCTAATTGTTCTGTAAACATGGTGGATCAAGCTAATTTTTTCAATCAGTTTGACTGTATTGGAATCACAGACAAATTTGAATTCATAAAGATTGTTCAACAGAATCACTCTGTGAGTTCTTCTACCGTCTCTCCTATTTTAAAGCACGAAGATTCGAATTCTTGAAAAAAGGCAGATCAATACTGGAAACAAATTGTAACTCATTTCGATACACACAAATAAATTTCCAATCCTTTGAGAATAATTGATGTCTGAAAAGTTTGGTAGTGTAATATCTTTGGTAGTGTAATTTTAATACATAATATTTAAGTATAATAGAAATGAAAACAATGAGAGACACCTTAATCAGTTGCGCTAACGGAGCTCTAAAGAATTGAGCAATCATTGTAGAACAATTGTTGAATTCTTATCGTGTCGTGAATCGAGGATTGCCTTAAGCACTGAGCAACGATAATTAGTATTGGTTGATAATGTCGTGAGAGACTGCTTCATACTTTTAAAAATTACAAAAAAAAATTTTAAAATAGAAAAAATGAGTAAATTTAAACCAGATTGTAATATGTTTCATTTTGTCATTATTATTTGTATTAAAAAAGAACTTATTGCCTAAACTTACCCATCTTCGAAGAATTGCACAACACCATACATATTAATGAAAATTACCCAAGAAATCAACATGCGTGTGGTGTACATTTGGTGTGAGCTTAAAATTGACCTTAACGTAGCAAACAATTTAATAGATAACTATCATGATCATTAAAAGCCTTGGCCCAAATTAAACGAGTATAAACTTTGCTAGGAAAGAAGCCTTAAATACACTGATGAGCCAAAATTTTATGTCTTTCCCCATTTTTGAATGAACTCGACTAAATGACGTGGAAAGAAAGTGATTATAAAGTGATTATATTGGAATTGTATTTAAATATTAATGGAAAAGTAAGGAATCGTTTTTTTATTTACTTTTGTAAGCGATGGGAAAGGTTACTAATCTAAGCAAATTTGATCGGTCGTAATGACCCTAAGACTAGGATCGAGTACTTCCAAAACTGCAGAAGTGGTTGGTTGTTCACAATATGCCGTGGTAAATATTTATGCGAAGTGAATAAATGATGGTAAAACCATCATTAGGCTCCAAGGTTGTAAACGTAAACGCGTCATAAAAAAAGACACCGGAGACTTTCTCTTGGTAAAACAAAATCGGAATCAAACTGTGGCTCTGCCGATAGGCCAATAAGAAGCAGGTTCAAGTGTTTCAGAACACATGCAACGGATGCCGTTTGATATGGGACAGTGCAGAACACATACCACTCGTGTGCCTCTGTTGACCAAGCGTCATCGTCAACTACGCTAAAAGTAGGCTCGAGAGCATCGACACTAGACCATGGTAAAATCGAAGAGAGTTATCTGGTCAGATAAATTACGATTTTCCTTCATCAAATGTCGAAGGTCGTGACTGGGCATGCCATCTTTTAGATGAACAGTTGTTTCCCACCTGTACATACAACAGGTTGCAGGTTGGTGGTGGCGTTATTATGTTTGGTGGATGTAGGCATGGAGGGCCCTGGAGCCCATAGGTGTGGTAGAACATACCCTGAAAGCTGCAGACTACCAGTACAAAATTTCAACTCGATTGCACCTACACGAGGCGTCTATTTTCCTAACCGGAAATGGAATCTCCCAGCACGACAAGGCTTCAATTCACAAAGCTCTAATTATGTTGGAGCCGTCTGGAGAGCATAATGCGATGAATGTCCTAGCCACCTAACTTTGTCAAATCATATTCCAATAGAGCATGTTAGGAATGTCATTGAAAGTCAGAGATCAAGCACCACAATGTCAGAATATCTCGATCTTGAGTGATCTTTGCTTTAGATATTCAGTACACTCTGTCGTCAGTTGACTGCCGAGAACTTTTAGCATTGATGCCAAGGCGACTTGCAACTGTTCTTGAAGCCTAAGTTGGCGTTACGCGTTACTGAGTCGATTGTCCTGTTTTGACCCTTCAGTAAGCAAAAAAAGAAAATCAATTTATCAATCACTCTAAAGTTAATCAATTATGTTATTGTTGTGGACGTAAGAAAAGTGCTATTGATGTGTAAATATCGCAAGTTGTGTCGTAAATTATTATTATTATTATTTTTGCGCCGCGTTACTCTGTTTAGTAAAAAAATTAGAGTAATTGTGATGATGATGGTTCTTTGTCCCAAATAGCCTTATGTCTAAAGGTTTGCATGTCTTCCTTTTTTTAAATTTCAAATTAGCTTTAAATTTGCTAATTTTTTTTTCCTTTTTTTGCCGAATTTTAAATTTCTTGAGAAAATGATAAAACTAATTGCAGTAGAACTACAAATTTCTTAAATCTTAAAAATGACGACTTTGCTTATTTTTAAAGTCTTAAATTCGTTTCAGAGCTATAAAATAATAAAGTTTAGTTTTCCACTTTTTTCAATGAAATTAATTTATATTATTCAAAGAGGTTAACAGTGAATTCGTATTTTTTCTGTTTTCATGAAAATAAGCCAGTTTTAAATTTTATTAATTTAGTTAGAGTGTTAGATAATTAATAATTATGTAATTTAATATGATCAAGCTCAGGCTCTTTTATTTCGGAGGTGCCATTTAAATGATCTTATAACTTCTGCCCATTCTCCATTTTTTTCTATTTAAAAAATCAAGTCTCCTTCGTTTAAAATATTAATTTTTATAAGGAAAAACAAAGGAATGGTTACGAGAAGTAAAGTTAATAATAGCTGATCCTCTCTTTTTCTTTCCTCTATGATACAATCAAATGCATATCAGACATGTGACTAAACTCAATCTTGAACACACTGAACTTCCTCGTTCTCAACTCTCATAGTTTTTCTTTTCCGTTATTTTCAAGTAGTTTTGTTATCTGATTAAGTGTTTTTTATTATCTCAGAAACATAAATGTAAACTCAAATTTTAATAGCATCTATCTGTTACTTCGAGTATTGTTTTCTATGACTGAACATCTAAATAGGGCTGAAAAGTTCAAATTGCTTAATGCGATCAAATTTCCAAAAAGAAAAAAAATGGCTTATAACAAGAATCGAGATTTTGATGTTGTTATTTTTGGTGCTAGTGGATTTGTCGGTCAGTATGTTATTGAAGAATTGGCTCATTCTTCAATATCGTCAAAATTAAAGTGGGCTATCGCAGGAAGAAATAAGGAAAAATTGAGAGAATCCCTTAAGATTGTTCAAGGATATCTTGGAAAAGGTATGTTTTTTAAAAGTTTCAATAGTTATGCTACCCTAGTTTGCTAGTGAATTTTTTAATTCCAAATAGATACTTAAATGTAAATGTAAAGCTTTTGTTTGTAATTTTAAATTGGAATTATTATATTGGAAATAATTATTATTAAATTGGAAATGTAATATTAGCATTTTTATATGAGTACACAAGTACGCTATATAACAGTAGGGGAGAGTGGGGTCAATTGTAACATTTTTTACATACCTATTTTTAACTAACAAAAAATCCAATATATTATTAGTATTAATTGACAGACGAGTAAAGTAGACTATCCCCTACTAGAAAAAAAATACCTTATTTTAAATGTTATTATATTAGCTATTAACAATTTTTCCCAGTCGTGCACTTGTTACAATTGTCCCCACTTACGGGATCAATTGTAACAGTTCATAAATTCAACTGAAACATAGTTAATTATACATATTATCATAGTTGTGATATATTTTTTTATTGATCAAAATAGCAGTGGTATTTTAGGAGTAAAAATAATAATGAGCAGAGGCCTAAAGGGTTAAACTTTTAACTTTAAGGGGTTAAAATTTTTAATTTATGCTGTGAAAGGTGACAAATAAAATAATGCACGAGCAACATAATATAAATGATATAGGAAACTATTGGTGGTTCCTAAAGAGTTAAGTAATGGTTCGTAACCATAAGATTATTTATTTTCAGCTGTTACAATCGTCCCTTCACTTATTGCTACAATCCTCCCCACGACGCCATTTTAGCTTCATTTGTTAAAAAAAGTGCTAGTTAATTAACAAAACTAATCTTTTTTTCTTTTGAAATGTTAATTAAGATGTCCACTTACATATTCGGTTAATAATTTTTATTTGTTTAAGCAAAATTACTTTGTTACAATATAATATTCTAATACCAAAAAAAGTACTTACGTAGCGTGAAAATATCTTTTGTGATGTAACTCATTCAAAAGTACATAAAAATGGTTGCCAGCAGGGGTGTACATGAAGATTTATTAAGTACACCTTGTGCACCACCTTGGAACCAAATCTAGAACCCGACACTCGAAATTTTTGGTCTGTTACAATCGTACCCTGTTACAATTGACCCCACTCTCCCCTACACATCGTACACTTACATCAGTACACAAGTTACCTTGGGAGTACAAATTTATATTAATTTTTCTGCTGCTCGAGATATTTTAACGGATATTTTTCCGTCGGTGATTTCAAATTTTCAGTGGGTGTCTCTCTCTAAGTTATATTTTCTTTCAAATGACGTTTTCAGTTTATTTTTCATCGAAATTCACAAGTTCAAAAACGTTATCTATAAGAAGGGGTGGAATAAAATTTTAGACAAACTTCTTGCGCCTAATCATTAGAATTAAAATGACGTAGGAAAACATCCACGGAAATGTCGTCTTATGCCGCAAGAACTTCCCTACTGTTCCATGACCTGTTTCTTCGCGTGCTTCTGAACAGGTCATAATAAAATAGCACCCCAGCCGCATACGGCGACATTTAAAAGAAGGAATTCTTATTCAATTCGACCAAAAATAGACTAAAAATTTCAATTTTTTTTAAATGTGAAACTTTAGGATAAAAAATAATTTCATGTTTGAAATTCCCGCAACCGAATAAGGTAAGGTCCAGTATTTGTATAAATGGAATAAAAAATTTAACCTCCAGTGTTTGATTCAAAACAGTTATTTTGAGAATTAATGAGTTTAATTTTGTTAAACATTCTTAAATCATTAAAGTATACCAAATAATAATAATCAATAGTATGCCAAATATTGTTGAAAATAGGCAATTTAAGAATTGATGAGTTAAGTAGTATTAAAAATTCTTAAATGGACGGAGATAGCGAATGTTTTTCCTTAAATGAAAACTTATTGAGAAAAAGAAAAACAAAACATTGAAAAAAAGTAATTTGGGTAATAATGTGAAAGATAGCGTTAAATATTACTTAGTGGCTCGACTTAATAGTTGCATTAAGAATCCCTTACTTTAATTTTATTCGTAAACAAGATACTTTGCAAATGAAAAAAAACTACACTTAATATGTTTAAAAAAAAGAATATAAAATCGATTATAATTATAAAAGTGACTAAATATTACATCAATGCATTTCAAAATTGTATCACAAATATAATGAAATAAATTCGTCTCAATTTATAGATTAAAATGATAAATCTATTGGTTAGATAAATCTGTCTGTTAGCTGAATATTTTAGCTAGATATCTAAATTAAAGTTACTGGTTTTGAAACTATATATATATATATATATATACATATTTTATATATATATATATATATA